CTATCGTATTCTCTATTTCATTTACACACGGAACTGGACGGCGATGAACGACGCACTAGCCGACGTAACTGCAGAAGATAAGAAAGACAAGGCCGTGAAACATGCTCTGAATGTTCGCTCTGCCCTTGCACTCGGGAATTACCATCGTTTCTTCCAGCTATACCTTAATACCCCGAATATGGGAGCCTACCTCATGGACATGTTTGTCGATCGTGAGCGGTTGAGTGCTCTTGCAACTATGTGTAAAGCGTGAGTCTCTTGATTTCGCATGTTCTGTTTGAGAATTCTCGCTGACCTTTTATCGTAGATACAAACCAGATGTCAACATCCGATTTATCACAGAAGAGCTTGGATTTGAGTCTGATGAGCAGACTGCACGTTTTGTTCTAGACAACTCCTCCGAAGAACTGCTGGCGGAGAGGGACGGCGCTGTAAGGCTGTTGACAGGCAAAGCAGGCACGCTGTTCGATCAAGCCAAAGAAGCGGCACACCGTATCGTCGATATCAAAGGCCAGATCTAACCAAGTTCTCATTTTCCATCTCTTTCTTGCGGCGAGGATTAAACCATTGGATCTCAGTCAAAGCCATTTTCTCATTTTCTTGATTTTGGCGTATCTTCAAAAGCGGGAAGGCGTTTACCACATACGTGCACATGGATACAACATAACCTTTCGAGAGTCGATTGCACATTGACATAGTAAATACCTATAATATCCAATCTATCCAGTACTTATTCCATATGCACAGTTCTGCCTTGTATGTCAACACTCGCCTTCAATTGCACATCACGGTAGTATTAGGAAGTGAGATATGATCCACGTGAGGCGAGTGAGCAACTCTGGTCGAGACCTTTTTTGTGCGGGAACCTGCCAAGCACGTACTTCGTAGGGTAGATGTAGATGTGGCCAATGATCGACATTGAACAGAGTTTCTTCAGCTTGCCAGTGCCTTAATATAATTGTTTTAACTTTTCATCCTTGTATCTAATATTCGAGAGAAAAGTACGGAGTACGGAGTATCCTCACACGGATACAGTCGGCAGATTGCAGGAGCCGCGCATTCGCCCCGGAAATCTAAAATTTTTTAATATTAGGGAATTAAGCCCCCAATCTAGGCCCTTTGTTTCTGATACATTTTTCATATCCATTTTCTTTGTTCGGTGGGGTATGCAGGTAGGTGCTCCGTACATATCCAGCCTAAATTAATTTCCTGAAAAATCATTAAAATAGAAAGATCGGAACGGCTTCCAATGGGAGACAACACCAAAATCCACGGTAGAGGTAAACTTTGTAGGTCAACCATGGTTACAGGTGGGGAAATGAGGGGCAAAGATCCTTCTTTTTCTTCTTTTTCGTTCTGTGTACCTACCCTTTCTAGTACATATTTACCTGTATGTATAACTCTGTATCTACCTATATAGGTAAGATGGATATATGCATGTACAATTACCATGTACAATGATATATGTATGTCTCGTACTAGTCAAGGTCCCACGGGTACCTATGGGAGATGACAAATGGGGAGACTCGGACAGAATCGCATTTAGTCTAGTAGGGTGTGATTCAATTACACTAGCCGCCGATGGTGGATTATCATTTGTCTGCCCAACGGCAATAATAATAAATAAATACTAGAGCTGGCGAATATATTCTAATGGTTCTAGGTACGACACCTGACGATGTATACACCGAGGCTCAACCCAAGGTTCAGGGTTGGCGTTATCCTGTATTGCCATGACCATACGATATTGCAGATAAAGATCAAAGCCTACATGCATATGGAGTACTCTGTATAGATCCTGAAATACCCAGAATACCCTCAAGAACATCAGAAGATCCCAAAGAAAGCAAAAAAGCAAAAAGCGGGCCCCCCTGGCAATCATCCAAGCCGCGTGGTTGGAACCGCAATACGGATTACGCTGGTCAAGGTATATACACCTGGGCATTTGACTAGGCCTTGCTCCTCCTTTCCTCCTCTTTGCATCTCTCCTTGAATCCCTTCGCCCTCTTTTACCATGAAGGTGAGTTTCCCTCGTTCCGCAGTATGACCTGGTATCGTGTTTAATTAATCCGGTTTCTAAAAAAAAATCAAATTCCAAGGCCTTTAGACGATCTCTGAAGGGGGAGAAAGATCCCAAACCCCATCATATCTCTATTACACCCAAGTCCGCTATTGCGATTCTACCCCCGAAAAAAGTGAGTTGCGTCCTTGCGCAAGTTCGCCAGTTGCGTTGAAATTCGCCGCTTTCTTTGACCCCTCGCCCCTCCTTGTCCCACTTCCGACTCGTTCTTGGCAGTGGCTGACCGCATTTCCCAGGTAATCAAAGCGCTTTACGACTACCAACCGGAGGGGATCTCGCAGGAATTGGCATTCAGCAAGGGAGATTTCTTTCACGTTATCAGCAGGGAGGACGATTCGGATTGGTACGAAGCGTGCAATCCGCTGATCCCTAGTGCTAGGGGGCTTGTGCCCGTCTCCTTTTTTGAGGTTATCGGCAAAAACGAGAGGGATAGTGGGGGTTCCGGCGACCTGTCCAAGGACCACCACGACTCAGGATTCTCCGACCGCGGTCGTTCCCAAGATTCTTCCACCACCAAGAACGGCGCATTCAGAATGTCTGCACTCAAGGGTCAAGGCGCTATGGTCTACGGAGTTGTCCAGTACGATTTCCAAGCGGAGCGACCCGATGAATTGGACGCGAAGGCTGGCGAGGCCATTATCGTCATCGCCCAATCTAACCCGGAGTGGTTTGTCGCAAAACCCATCGGTCGTCTCGGCGGCCCAGGTCTGATTCCCGTTTCTTTCATCGAGTTACGTGATATGCAAAGCGGACAGGCTGTGGCCGACCCGCTTGACGCGGTGCGACGCGCCGGTGTTCCCAAGGTTGAGGAGTGGAAGAAAATGACGGCGGAATACAAAAACAGCAGTATTACACTGGGCAAAATTGACCCTGGTCACGGTGGGGGCAATATGACGGCTGTCACCTCGGGCATGGATAAGATGTCCATGGGCCACCAGAGTCAAATGAGTCAAAATGACAATGTTTATGTATGCAAACTTTCTGGTTCCCGTTTGCGATTACTAACCGATGATGAGCAGGAGCACCAACGTAACGCCAGCAAGGGAACTTTGTCGCAAGTGCCCACATCGCAACAGAGCCAACTTCTCGTCCCCGTCTCCGCCTATATTCCGCGCTACTGTTTCGATAACGACAAGTATTGGTACATCATCGAGGCGAAGATGGAAGACGGTCGCTGCTGGGAGCTGTCGCGTTACTACCACGATTTCTACGACTTCCAGATCGCCCTACTGACCCAATTCGAAGATGAAGCTGGCAACCGTGGCCGTGGGCGAACGCTCCCTTTCATGCCAGGCCCTGTTACCCACGTGACGGATGCGATTTCCAACGGCCGACGACAGAACCTGGACGAATACATCAAGAAGCTCCTGTCTATGCCCCCGCATATTTCGCGCTGTGAACTCGTGCGCGAACTCTTCTCGCCCCGAGAAGGAGACTTCGAAATCGATCCCAATGCGTTCGGCGAGGATGCCCGGTTCTCGGGTGGATCTCAGCACTCCGTCGTGGATCCCCAGCAAACCGTGTCGCGCCAGTCTTCGCAGCAGCAAATCAATGCATCCACCGAGCGGGTATCCCAGCAGCGCGCCCCAGCACCCACGCCCTACGCCAATGGTGGCCCGCCGCCCATGAACCGCCAACCTAGCTCTATCACCCAAGCTTCTAGCGCATCGGCCAACAGCGCGATGAAGGTCAAGGTGTTCTTCCAGGATGACCTTATTGCGATCCGCATCCCATCGGGTGTGAGCATGCAGCACCTCAAGGACAAGCTATGTGACCGGTTGAAGATTCAGGACGATATCGTTGTGCAGTACCGTGACGAATCCTCCGGCTCCTATATCGATCTCTATACTGATCAGGACCTGGAGAATGCCATGCAACGGAACATCAAGCTGACCCTCTTTGTCAGCGTCGCATAAAAAGCACTCACTTCTTTCCTGGTGTTGCGGTCAATAGACTTGCCCATGATTTCATCGATGAGGTTATTTATTGTCAACCTCATATTAATGTTTGCCACGAGTAAGGTTGGTGCATTGGAGTTTTTGAATGACGCATGGTTATTCCTTGATTTGTTTTTTTCTTCTTTTTCAAACTGATCATCAGTTCTTTCAGCGATTTCACATAGTCCATGAGGACGAGATCGTGATTTAACGAATCTGATGCGAGATGTATGGCACGGTTTCCTTCCTATCTGCCTATTTTCTTTTTCTTTCTATTTCTTGTTCCTGCGATGTGGCATTATGGGCTTTCTTCTATTTCTGCGTCAATTTCGCATCAGATCTACATCTCATCCTATTCAGGATCATACCCCGGTCTGCCTGCTTCTGTGTTGTGTACATATTTTTCTTACTTCTCGTGCATATACCGGGGAGGCCTTTTTCATATGGGAGAGGCTCAACCGTGGTATCTCACAGCTCTTTTTGCACCAGCTATAAATGTTGATATACATTATTTGAGAATATTAGAATCGTTCGGGTAGAGATGTCGCCATGATAGAATATCACGTGACTTGCTGACTTGATCTTTGTCCTGATTTGTTCTTCCAAGGTTCGATTCTTGGAATGTTATTCTGGTCGTGGTCCGTCACAAATTTTCACCTTGAATCCCAGAGCTGCAGGAGCTGTATATATATTTTCTGTGCATGTTGTAATTCGGCATCTTTAGCCCGGGCGTTTGGCTTACGAGGACCCGCCACCACTCCAGAGCTATCCGGAGGAAAAACAAATCCTTGCCTACAATACAATACCTCGGTTAACGCCTTCGCATCGCAACCGCTCTCCGCCAGGGAAACCCGACCTCTAGCCCACCGTCGCACCCGCAAATATAACTTCCAAAAAACCTGCCAATGAGCCGCCCATCGGCAAAGCTATGCGCGGAATGTTTCCCAAACGCGCTGCGGGCGCCTCGGGGCCTCCGCCCTACAATGTTGCGGGGCGTCGCTCGTAGATTTTATGCCACACAGCAGAGGGCTCTCGGTACATTACGGCGGCCGAGTCGATCTCCGTTGGTATATGTCTCTCCGGAGAGGATCCGCTCCCAGCCGGCCATTCAGTCACCAAAGGGCCGAGGTCTGGCTACAGTCTCGGACGGCGAGAAGAACGCCGCTCCTACGCCACGGGATGGGCCTATGAGAGAATATGATGTGCGTGTGCGGGATGGGAGACTGAGAGATGACGAATATCAGAGAGGTAAGTTGTGATCAACTCTGGCGCACATATTCAAGCTGACATGCGCCGATGCTCTAGGGATCATCCAAAATCTGCAGGACCTCTTCGAGGCACTGAAAGATTACCACCAGCCTAAAGTTGTTCACCCAGAGCCCGAGTCTCTGCACCCTGAGGCAACGTCATCTTTCTTCGGGTCTTTGTTCGGCGGTGGCGTGAAGAAGCACGAAAAGTCCGCTGTCCCCGATAACCTTCCGAAGGGACTGTACATGTATGGCGACGTCGGGTGCGGTAAGACGATGTTGATGGATCTGTTCTTCGATACGCTACCGCCGAACATCAAGAGTAAGACGCGCATTCACTTTCACAACTTCATGCAGGATGTACATAAGCGCATGCACGTAGTGAAGATGAAGTATGGAAATGACTTCGATGCACTGCCGATGGTTGCGGCCGATATTGCCGAGCTCTCAGGCGTGCTTTGCTTTGACGAGTTCCAGTGTACGGATGTAGCCGATGCTATGATACTGCGACAGTAAGTGTTCGATTCCCGGATGGGGCCATTCAATAACCCAGCTGATGATTTGCCAACCAGGCTTCTTGAGCACCTCATGTCCCACGGCGTTGTTCTCGTCACCACATCCAACCGCCATCCAGACGACCTGTACAAAAACGGCATTCAGCGCGAATCCTTCATCCCATGCATTAACCTCCTCAAGACCGATCTGCACGTCATCAACCTCAATTCCCCAACAGATTACCGCAAAATCCCTCGGCCTCCAGCTGCCGTCTATTACCATCCGCTGGGCGAGGCCGCACAGCAGCACGCGCAGAAGTGGTTCGAGTTCCTGGGTGACCCTATCGATGACCCGCCGCATGCAGACTCGCAAGTTGTCTGGGGCCGCGAAATCAATGTTCCCTGTGCTAGCGGCAAGGCTGCGAAATTCACCTTCCAGGAGCTTATCGGCGCGGCCACGGGTGCAGCCGACTACCTCGAGCTCGTCCGGCATTACAATGCATTCATTGTCACAGACGTTCCAAGAATGAACCATACCCAACGTGATCTGGCGAGGCGTTTTATTACCTTTATTGATGCGGTATATGAGAGCCGGGTGAGTAACGAGCAACGTTCCTGTTCACCTTTTTACCGTGCAGTCAACTAACAACCCCCTTCAACAGGCCAAATTAGTTCTCACGACCGAAGTACCCTTAGCAGACCTTTTCATGTCCGAACCTGATACGAAGAAAGGCTCTAAAGGTGACGGTGGCGACCACTCAGATCTCTCCGATGCAATGCGCAACCTAATGGACGACCTTGGTATGTCTGTGCAAACGCTGAAGAGCACGTCTATTTTCAGTGGTGACGAGGAGCGGTTTGCGTTTGCGCGTGCGCTTTCCCGTCTTTCTGAGATGGGAAGTAAGGAGTGGGTGGAGCGCGGATCGGCGCTTGAAAGGACTCCTGCGCAGAATAAGGAGGATCGGGAGGCTTGGCAAAAGACGAGGAGTCATTGGAGTGAGGATAATATGTAGATTATATTGTTCTCTTGCCTTTGTCCTCTTGCCTTTGGTTCTTGCCTTTTGTTTTGTTCACACGCTACACTGTGCTGTAGAGATACCTGTGCACATAGATCGAGTTTGGTGTAAATAGCATAGCTCTTCTTTCAATTATGAATTATCCCTATGGATTGAATTTGTTCTGCTCCTCAAATTGAACCTACAACATATATTCGGGACATAAATCTCCTTATATCGACTGTCAGCTCAATTCCTCATATATTGGAATTTGGAGATGCGCGGACATGTTTTCCACCCTGATATCAGGTGACGTCACGTCGCATCCGAGGACAAGTTTGTATGGTATTTCAAGATCCCTAATAAATTCGAGGTCCGAATCCAGGCATAAATTCACGTCATCGGCCTGCAATCAGCATGACTCCACCATACCAGTGCCAATACCTTGTATTGCCTATGGAACCCCCAAGATCGACCACCCAGGCAACACAGGCAAAGGTTACCAAACTATGGCTCCACCTCCGTGGGATTGCAGGAAACTGCCCCGCGAATGAAATGGGAGCAATTCGCAATGTTTCTTGTCTATTCTGCTCCATTACAGGTTTTCCTGTCGGCATTGGTTGGTAAAGTGCCCGGGCGTTAGGTTAGGGTATGGGTGGTAGGTCATACTATGGTCATTCTTGCAAAGCGGTTATTCCATCCTGGTTAAACTTTGGCTTGGGCAATCGACTTTCCGCTTTGTAATTAGACGACTTCATTTCGTTGGTAGATGGACTTCAGGATATGCAACGGGGAATTACATCATTGACGTCGCACCTAGGGAATTGCACGATGACCAGCTTGATTTTGATATATAAAGCGGAAAATTCAGCCTTACCTATGCTACTCTTTCCTCTCTTTCTCTGGTATTATTGATATCAACCACACTTATTATGGCAGCAAAGTCACACTCCAAGACTGCGGACGGCAAATTTGCCGATCTACAAAAGGACACCATCGAAGTCAACGACAAGCAGCACATGACAACTGACAATGGCGTCAAAATCTCCAACCCAGACCAATGGCTCCGCATCGTAGACGAAAAGAATCTTGGGCCCTCACTCCTGGAAGATCAGATCGCCCGCGAAAAGGTATCTATAACTTACATTCATCCACATATATACCAATATATATCTAAGCAAACTAACCAACAAACAATAGATCACGCGCTTCGACCACGAACGCATTCCAGAGAGAGTAGTACATGCGCGCGGAAGCGGCGCCTTCGGCACGTTCAAGCTATTCGAGAGCGCCGAGGACGTAACAACCGCGGGAATACTGACTGATACAAAGCGGGAGACGCCGCTGTTCGTGCGATTCTCGACTGTGCAGGGTAGCAGGGGCAGTGCGGATACAGTGCGCGATGTGCGCGGGTTCGCTGTTAAGATGTATACCGCGGAGGGAAACTGGGATATCGTCGGGAATAACATTCCTGTTTTCTTTATTCAGGACTCGATCAAGTTCCCTGATGTTATTCATTCTGTTAAGCCTGAGCCGCATAATGAGGTGCCGCAGGGTCAGAGTGCGCACAATAATTTCTGGGATTTCCAGTATCTGCATTCGGAGGCTACGCATATGAACCAGTGGGTTAGTATTTCTCCCTATTTGGTTGTGTGTCGATACCTGATAGCTGATGCGGTTCGTGATAGATTATGTCCGATAGAGCTATTCCGCGGTCTCTCCGCATGATGCAGGGATTCGGCGTGAATACCTATTCCTTGATTAACAAGGCCGGCAAGCGTCATTTCGTCAAGTTCCACTTCACTCCAGAGCTGGGCGTGCACTCTCTCGTCTGGGATGAGGCGTTGAAGATCGGCGGCCAGGATCCCGACTTCCACCGGAAAGACTTAATGGAGGCGATCGAGGCAGGACACTTCCCACGCTGGAAGTTCGGCCTGCAACTCATCCCCGAAGAAAAGGCCGACAGCTTCGAGTTCGACCCTCTCGACGCCACGAAGGTCTGGCCCGAAGAGCTCGTGCCTATCCGCTACATCGGCGAGATGGAACTTAACCGTAACATCGACGAGTTCTTCCCTCAGACCGAGCAGGTCGCATTCTGCACGAGTCACATTGTGCCAGGCATCGACTTCTCCGACGATCCTCTGCTTCAAGGCCGCAACTTCTCATACTTCGACACGCAGATTTCGCGGCTCGGACCGAATTGGGAGGAGCTGCCTATCAACCGGCCAGTATGTCCATACATGAACCTGGTCAACCGCGACGGCCAGGGCAGACATCGCATCACTAAGAGCAAGGTGAACTACTGGCCGAACCGGTTCTCTGCGAATCCACCCGCGACCGCAGAGCAGGGCGGCTTCGTCAGCTACCCGGCAAAACCGCAGGGCGCAAAGAAGCGCGCGCTGTCAGAGAAGTTCAAGGAGCACTTCAACCAGCCGCAGGTGTTCTACAACTCGCTCTCACCAATTGAGAAGATGCATGTGGCCAAGGCATTCTCATTCGAGCTAGATCACTGCGACGACCCCGTCGTCTACAAGCGCATGTCAGAACGTCTAACAGCCATCGATCTAGACCTAGCCAAGACCGTCGCGAAGAATGTCGGTGGCGACGCACCCGTCAAAGCCTCCAAGGAAAACAGGGGTATGAAAGCCAAGGGTCTGAGCCAGCTTGAATTCATGCCGGAGAAACCCATCATTGCGACGCGTCGCATCGCCATCCTGATTGCTGACGGCTTCGACTTCAACCAGTACACCACAATGAAGGAAGTGCTCAAGGAGCGCGGCGCGTTTGTTATCACAGTCGGTACGCAGCGCCAGGGTGTGACTGCCGAGTCTGGGCAGAAGGTTATCCCTGACCACTTCTATTCTGGAATGCGGTCGACGCTGTTCGACGCGGTCTACGTGCCTGGCGGAAAGCATATCCAGGCGCTGTCAAAGAATGGCGTATTCAAGCACTGGATTTCCGAGTCTTTCGCTCATCTGAAGGCTATTGCTGGCGCCAACGAGGCTGTGCCGTTTATTGAGCGGCAGATCGGGCTTTCTGAGGTCGAGGTTGCGAAGAGTGGTTCTCCGCTGAAGGAGTCGTATGGTGTGGTTACGGGCCATGGAGATGCGGTTTCGTTGTTGAAGGTTGGCACGGTCGCGCCCGATTCGAAGGGTCTAGCTGAGCAATTTATTTGGCATGTTTCTCAACACCGCAACTGGGCGCGTGAGCTGGATGGACTTTCAGATCAGATTGCTGCTTAAGTCGGTGTTGCATGTGAAACGAATTGGATATGTGACCATCAAAATTGTATGAGCTTTTTTTTGGTTAAATGAGAGCTAAGTCATTTCATATTTCTAAAATTTAATCAAATTTGGTAAAAGTCTCACGAATCCAAGGCCGTGTAGGTGGATCTCACATTCAGATGCTATGGGTATGATACACTGCGTATGTAGGTGGCCAGCCTACATTCTTCATCGGCTGATCTACAATACACAAACCCAATCATAAGCTCATGTAGGGTTGGAGGAAATATGTTTCTGCAAGATTCCATGCTATCAAGGCCCTCTGCCAGATTCTTTTAGGCCAACGTAGCGCTAGCACTTAGTGCCTGTGCCTGCGCCTGTGCCGAACCCTAACCCTTCCCATATAACATACCCCAACCGCCAGTAGCAATGATATACCACCATTATAGAGACATCGAACAATTGAAACTAGATAAACCCCAAACCCTCCATCATACTCAGCCTCCCGCATACCACATCCCCATATCTCATAGGGGTCAGGGCTACTGGTCACATTTCAAGACGGATTAGTTACACTGCAGGAATATCGGACCAGCCGCTTTCTGAACCAAGAGACTCTGGAAGGCAGAAGTATTCATGATGTCCTTTCGTAAATAACAAGCTATGTTTCTGGATTCTTGTTCCATTATATCTTTGATATTGGATCTCCGCAGTCATGGTTCTTCATCTATCGCGCTCGACACGGCTAAGCGTTGTGATTGGCATATCGACATGTTTCTTTCTAGCTGAGATTTCGCGTTGGTTGCCCTTTCTTGGTTTCTGTGGTACTGGTCTTGGTATGATATCGATGTGCTGATACCGGGCTAGTGGGCTTCTATACCCATTCTATTGCTCTGATTGCAGATGCTTTCCACTATGTAAGCGTGTTTGGGTGTGGAGTTGGAGATTGTGTTGGTTAACATATATTGCAGCTGAATGATTTAGTTGGGTTTATTATTGCTCTTGTTGCATTGAAGGTACAGTCTGGTTTGGCCGTCGGTGTGGTGGTCATGCTGATGTGAAATATAGAAATCCGAGCGCAGTGACTCGCCTAAGGAGCTCACCTTTGGTTGGCAGCGGGCGCAACTGCTCGGTGCCTTTTTCAATGGTGTTCTTCTGCTTGGATTGGGCATTAGTATATTTTTACAGTCCATTGAGCGATTTATCGCTCTACAACGTGGGTGCTATCGCCCAGGCTGGATTTTGTCTCATTTGATTATGACTGACGGTGCGTTTAGATATTCACGACCCCAAGCTGATGTTCATCATTGGGTGTATCGGATTGGGCCTGAATATTATTAGCGTAGTCTTTCTTCACGGTAGGGTTCGTGGGGTCATTTTTAGTACCATGCTAACAGTACCCAGAACATGGACATGATCATGGACATGAACACAGTCATGACCATAGTCTATCACCCACGATTGAGACACCGGTTCTTCACCTCGACGAGGAATACCTTGATTCCAGCACCAAGGTAAACTGCAACAAATTGAGCGATCCAATTAATGGAGACCGACTGACACAGCTTAGCATGACGATCACAAGCATCTTCATTTCGAAAAACATCGCTGTGCAGACTCAGGCGGCCACAGCCATGGTCATGGCGGCCACGACCACGGTGATTTGGGCATGATGGGAGTGATGATCCACGTTATCGGCGATGCAATCAATAACTTGGGTGTCATGGCGGCCGGTCTGGTCATCTGGCTCGCTGCACCCTATGCCGGCCGATACTATGCGGATCCCGGTGTGAGCATGTTCATTGCCATCCTCATTATTCTATCGTCCTTCCCTATGAGTAAGTGTGGTACCAGCATGAATGGTTGAAAAGGAGATAGCGAAGCTGACACTCTTCAGTGCGCCGGGCTGGGATGATCCTGCTAGAGAGCGTGCCCACAGGGGTTGACATGTGCGATGTCAAGCACGACCTAGAAAAGGTATTTCCACCTTTCATCTTCTCTTTCTTCATTCCTAACAATCGCCAGATCAAGGGCGTCAATTCAATCCACGAACTCCATATCTGGCGCCTCAACCAACAAAAAACCCTCGCCTCAGTTCACGTCGTGGTGTCTGAGGACTCGGTCGAGGACTTTATGAAGACGGCGCGCGTGATCAACGAGTGTTTCCACGCCTATGGAATTCACTCCATTACACTGCAGCCTGAGCTGTCAGATGCAGTTGATTCGCAAGATGGGGCTTCGCAGGAATCTTCCCGGTGCCAGGTCATTTGCGGGACTCTCTGCGAACGGTTGACTTGCTGCGGATAGACCAGATCCCTTCTCATAATGTCGAGATGGCTAAGTTTTGGATATCAACCTGCCAAGTGGCCGAGCAGTAACTCGGCCATCGCATTCTTCCTTGGTCTAGTGGTGATGATTTCCGCTTGTCATTAAAACCGATAAGCGCGGGAGACCGGGGTTCGATTCCCCGAGGGAGAGATTTCTTTTTTTGTTTCTTTTTTCACTTCAACTTTATTTAATCGAATGATATCTATTGGTACTTTGAGGAAGAAGTAGTAGAGAGGGGTTTGATAGTCTAGGATTGCATGAAAGAGCAAGGGAGGATCTTGTGGCAATTCCTATATACTCTAGGTATCGCTATTTTAGAAAGAGGGACAGCACACGTTCAATGGTCCCTGAATTATCTTCCTGGACATTATAAGCAAGCAAGATGCATTAGCCTAGGTTTCCTCTAATATTACATCGAAATCGTTACAAATTGCGCTGTTGAAGTAGCCTGACTGGGTGTACACTATAGCCTGTTGAGCTTTGAAAGTAATTCCTTGACAAATGATTTACTAGTTATCCAAAGGGATGTCCCATTAACAATCCCCTATATAAAAGTGTACGATTGTACCTTATCAACATTGAGCAACAGCCAGTATGGACCATTAACCAATAAGAGCTGCATAGTTCTCCACTCTGCGAATAGGACGGCCGTCTACTCCAATGGATAGCAAATTCCGATTCCGAGATAGCCAGGTACTTTGTAGATCACACAGATAAGGTGCGGGGAATACGTAGGACGAAGGACTGCCTTGTGTCTCTCTCCCCTCTTTCTTATATATCTCAGTTCACCCTCCGAAACCAGCCATATTCCATCTCAAATCACTCATCAATATGACTCTTAATTGGGAGATCCAAGCCCAAAGAGGCAGAGATATCTTGAACAATTCTATTCCGAAACAATGGCTTCTCCCCGTCGACAGGCTGCCGCCAGCCTCGCAGAAGAGTGTGATTGACTTCCCCCGACAAAGCGGGTTGTTGAATGAGCGCGAGCTCGTTATCACTGATATGTCGGCTACGGCACTGGTGACCGAAATGGGTAATGGAACAATGAGCGCGGAAGAGGTGGTGACTGCGTTCTTGAAGAGGGCCGTGTTGGGCCATCAACTGGTGAGATTGAGATTGGGAGATGTGGACTGTGTAATTCCAATGTTGACATGCTTGTCAGCTCAATTTCGCAACAGAGTTCATGGCAGACGAGGCAATCGCTCGCGCCAAAGAGCATGATGAGTACTACAGACGTACAGGAAAACTGGTCGGGCCCCTGGTAAGCTCATATACATGTTCAAATTTATCACAGCGAGATTTTAATGAAACAACCACAGCACGGTATACCAATCAGCGTGAAAGAACACATAGCAATGAAAAACCGAACATGCAACACGGGATACGTAGCTTGGTGAGTATAAATCCACCACGACAGCCCGCATTGCTGACAAGCAAAACAGGGTCGATAAAGTCACCACGGAAGATGCTCTTCTCCTCCAACTTCTATCTAAAGCCGGCGCGATTTTTCACGTTCGGACTAACGAGCCCCAGTCATTGATGGTATGTCCACAACTTCCACATTAGCGGTGTATCCCATAACCAATGCCATCTAGCATCTATGCTGCAGCAACAATATCACCGGCACGACATTGAACCCACTTAATCTCACTCTCAGTCCAGGCGGGTCCTCCGGAGGCGAAGGTGCCTCAATGGCCTTCCGGTGCGCACCACTTGGGATTGGCACTGATATCGGCGGATCAATTCGCTGCCCCGCAGCGTTTTGCGGTGCGTACGGCTTCCGTCCTTCCTCACTGCGGAACCCTGTAACAGGGCTCAAAGTCGCTGCTTCGGGCCAGGAGACAATCCGCGGCGTGGTGGGTCCACTGGCTAGTTGTTCAATTGAGGATCTAGAGCTATTCCAGAGAGCTGCATTGGAGCAGGAGCCTTGGAATATTGAGACATCGCTGATGCCTGTGGCGTGGAAGACGGTTCTTCCGACACGGGATATGACTGTGGCTATCATGTGGGATGATGGGTATGTCGTGATTCAAATAAATGTCTGCTGTCAGTATGTTAATCCATTTCCCAGCTGCGTCCGCCCCCATCCACCTATTACTCGTGCTCTGAGACACGCCAAGGAGAAGCTGGTAGCGGCTGGTGTGAATGTCGTAGACTGGGAACCGTATAAGCACCAGCATGGCTGGGAAGTTATTGTAAGTGCTGGGTATTCTCTGGGCAAGCACGTTATAACGCTAACATAGCCCAGCGCGCTTTATACTACCCCGAAGCTGGCAGCAAGCAACGCGAAGTTCTCGCCGAATCAGGTGAGCCGGCACGCCCACTAACTGATTGGGCTCTCTCCTATAGCCGAAGCATGCCACTTTCGCACCCCGAAGCATGGGCCCTGCAAGAGCAGCGTGATATCTACAGAGATGAATATCATGCTCTCTTCAATCGTCGCGGTGTTGACTTTATTCTGTCCCCGACATATCCCGCTGCCGCGGCAGTGATGGGCGAGTCGCAGTATTGGAATTATACTGCGATTTGGAACTTAGTTGACCTACCTTCCGTAGTATTCCCATCTGGAATCTTCGTGGATCCCAAGGTAGACATGTTGACGGAGCAAGACAAAGAGTACGTTCACAGGGATGAGGTTGATGAGAGAGAGTGGCGTAAGTACCAGGGTCCGGAAAGATATGAGGGCGCGTCGGTGGGACTGCAGCTTTCTGGGAAGCGGTTTAAGGACGAGGAGACCCTAGCGGCGGCCAAGGTTATTGAAGGGATTGTGAGAGACAAGGAATACTTGAAGACTTGAAGACTTGGGGGGCTTGGGAATGGATAAATTGATTCGATGAATTTTACTTACAACACATTTACACCTCAGCTATGTCTCTTCGTAGCAAATACCATAGCAAGCGGCGTAGCAGTCTTCACTTTCTTCCCCTCAAAGGCCCTCTCCATCTCATCCCACAGTGGATTAATGTCCACCTCTGATACACTCGGTGTCGTCCAGGTAGATGAATAACCTCTAAACCAGTCACAGTCCTGCTCATCCATCCAATCCACGTCATTCTCCTCCCAAACAATCTCCTCTCCATCCCTAACTTGACTCTCACCAACTCGATCATTAATCCTAAAAGCCTCAATACTCCCCCGAGCATTAACATATAATCTCCTCACGCCCTCCCAGTCGTCCACAGGGAATCCTAGAGCCTCAGTACCAGAATTCAAAATTCTTAGTGCATGATCAAGCATCGGATCATGAACCTCATTCGCATAAAACGAACAAACAGCCCCCCAGGCCCTCTGAGCCCTCTCATTTCCGACAATGCGCGGATAATTATAATGCGTAATGACAAGCGTCCCACCCGGGCGTAACTCCCGCGCAAATTCCGCAATCGCAATCTCCGGCCTTGTCCAGTGGATACACTCACACGCCATGATCAGGTCGACCGAGCCAGACTCCACAGAGCTCCTTTCGGCACTTTCCTTCAGGAACCGGAAGCTAGATTCAGGAAGGCCGGATTCCTCGACTAGGACTCTGCGAGCGAGCGCGGTGTACCCGTCGTTCGGATCAGAGACGATCACTTTGTTGAAGCGCGGGGCGAGACTTGATGAGACGATTCCGCAGCCGGCGCCGACATCCTGAGCAAGGGACCAGGTGGAATGGGGTTTTTGAGAGTGGTAGGTAAAGACTTTTTCGAAGAAAGAGGGCGGGTAGACTGGACGAAAGGTAAGGTAGTCGGACCAGTTTACGCCTTGATTGGAGTTGAAGCCATATTCTATGGTGGGTGTGGTTTCGGATGACATTGGTGATTTAGATATTTGGGAAACGATTGAATGATGAGAGGTGACGATGATATATTCAACTAATGCTCTAGGGGTAATAGGGTGTATTTATATGTTGTTTTCTTGTTTTCTGCTTTTTTTTTTGCGAACAGATATCATTTTGTTATTTGTCATTCCCTAAACAGAGGTATAGCAATGAGAAAGTGTAAAGGATCGGGATTAATGAACCAGACCGTGTCTATTCGTTGGGATTTTGGGAATTTGAACAATCTTCCAATCAAAGAGGTTCAGACAGAGATCTTCGATCAGATCTCTAGAATATCTCTAGATCTCGGAGAACATCGGTCAGGTCGATCTCGGATCTCTTCTCACATCTAGATCACATAATTGTTTGGCATACTCCATATGACCTTTCTCCTTGGTATCCATGGTACTATCCCGTGCTCGTATATTGCGTATACTGCAGCTATGCTTGAGTTTTTCTCCAACCCCCTCGAGTTCTGCACGGTGGGGCTGGTGGAGTCGCGGTGATCTTCAAATAGCGCCTCAACAAGCTCCTATACAAAAGAATGGGCTTTTTGTGAACTAAGCGTAGTCCGTTTTCTTTTTCTTTTTCTATCTATAGGTAGGTGGGGTTAACTGCAACCCAAATACGGACATCTCAACCCGACTCAGCTCTCAAATCCTGCAGCGACCTAATCTGGCCACCATCTTCCCCAAAATTCCCAACATCCAGCCATTTCTCCATGGCAGACTTCAGCGAAGCATCCCACTCATCCCTCAAAATAGAAAACCAAGCCGTATCCCTATTTCTCCCCTTGACAATCATATGTTGTCGAAAGACTCCTTCAAATGAAAACCCCAAGCGTGAAGCCGCACGCCGCGAAGGCTCATTTAGCGAATTACATTTCCACTCCAACCTCCTATACCCAAGATCATGGAAAGCATGCTGAGCGAGGAGATAGATCGCCTCTGTCGCGCCGGTTGTGCGCTGGAGCGCAGCCGAGTACATTACATTCCCGATTTCAATGCCCAGGTGATCAGGAGTCATGCGCATCAGAGAGAGATAGCCAATGGGTTTTCCGAAAGTGGGGAAAGAATTGCGCCTGTCGATGATTGTGTAGAAGAATGGGTCTGTCGAAGTGGATTTCGATGCGATGCTGGTTTTGAAAGTTTCAACATCCGAGTACGGCCCGTCGAACATGTAGTCCCATAGGTCTGCTCTAGATGGTTCAAGTCCACCGATGAGGGCAAAGAGGTCATCTGCGTGCTTTGGCGAGAGTTTCTCGAGGAGAATTGCTCGGCCTGGAATTGTTTGGCTCGTTGGTAGTAGAGCTGGAGTGAAGGGGACTATTGGACCTTTGGGGCGTAGTACTGCCATTTTGAAATTGATTTGTTTCAGCTATTGATGTTTGAAATTGAGAGCGCGGCGATATTATATGGATGCTACCAGCTAATACCTAGCGGAGTTGGCCGTGTATATACTGTTTATTGGACTGATCTATGTATGACTCACGCCAGTGTGATTTGTTGTGAATGCCGAGAGTCCGGACGTGATAGGTTGATTCTCCGAACTGGAGCAAAAGTACAGATTGACTCAATAGCGAGGACAATTTTGCAGGAATTTCGGAAGATTAGCAACTAATTACTTACATTGATGTGGACTATAGACAGCTGCTTCTCCTTACCTTTAAAATAAACCAGTTTTGCCCCTCTTTTTGTACAGCAAATACCATAAAAAGATCAGCTGGAATGCGCCAAAACACATGACTATCCCACTAAACAATTGAATACCCAAGTAGTTCAAATCCGCACTACCATCGGCGCCAATTGAAGCGAGCGCACCTGCTATTGGTGGTCCCACAAGACTCGCAAAGCTACTCAAGCTTTGCGCCATTCCAAGCCAAGTTCCAAGACTCTTGGGATCGGGACAGACGTGAGTGAAAACGCTCGGCGGCAGAGGAATCAAAGCCCCGGAGATACCACCTGTGATTTGGGTCAAAATAGAGCACCGATGACTTGGAGAATGAACTTCACTTACCATAGAAGGCAGCAAAAAGAACAAACCGGGCAAGGCTGTCTGCACTGATCCAACAAATACACAGAACGCCTGAGAGTATACCGCAAATGATCCAAGCAATCATCGACCCATAGTAATGAGCGAACAAAGTCAAGACAACACGGCCAATAACCGAAGAAGCCTGGGAAATCATCAAGATATTAGAGGCCATTGAGCGCGATGTACCTAGTTTTGTCTCCGCGTAAGTCGGAATGTAATAGAAAGGCGTGATATAACCAAGGTAAAGAAAAAAGTTCCCGATAGCAAAGCTCCAAAAAGGCAAATCCTTCAATGCGCGCAAATCAATCAAGCTCCTGCGCTGGGTATTTTTAACCTTCACTGCATGTCTCTCCGGCCACAAAAGCATAATAGCAGCCGCGATGAACAGCGCCAGCATCAAGAACGCCACAAGGCGGACGGTCCAGGCGAACCCAACCTTTGATATAAGCTGGTTGAACATCGTTGTATAGATAATACCCCCGACAGGCGCACCGCTACTCGAAATACCTAGCGCAACAGCCCTTCTTGTTGTGAAAGAACGGCTGACCAATGCAATAGCAGGGACATAAAGCAGTCCGAATCCGAGGCCCATGCAGACCCCCTGGCTTAGGAATATGGCGTAGTAGTCATGTGCAAGACTGAGCATCATTATGCCGACTACACCTAGGGTACTGCCGACGAGAATCATGCTCTGGTTGTAGCCAAGGTCGAAAAGTGGGCCGGATAGTAGACCGCCGACGATTAGGAGCCAGGATTGAATCGTTCCAATCCAGGCGATGTCAGATGATGTCGATGATGGGATATAGGTGAGTGCATAGTAGCTTTGGAATGTCCCAAATGCGAGGTTGAGGCCCCTGGAAATCAGTTGGTTTTGATATTCAATTGGAAGCCGAAAGATGTTTCACATACCAGACATTGAAGAATATAAAGAAAGCACCGAGAACTTGGAGACAGCTATACACTTTACTTTTTACAGCAAAGGTAGAGTGTATTCCAGATGACTCTTCATCTTCCGTGATATGTGCCAGATCTGTGACCTCGGGCTGCGTCTTGCCTTTTTCCGATAACATGTTTAACAGCCTCGAATAAGTTCAATTCTAAATCAAAACGGTAGCCAGGATTCGAAGGAAATAACAAAAGCTAAGACCCCTCAAATGTATTGACCAGTCAGTATATTAGCCCTGTACCGTATGCAACACTGCCGTGTTTACCGGTGATGCGGGGTGAGTGTCTTTGGGGTAACAACCTATCACGTATTTCGAAGCACTGTTTGGAGTCAATCTCATGTCGGATTTGTAATTTCTACGCTACTAATTAGTTAGTTAATATCGATACGAAAATATCACGCTTACCAGGATTGAGTTGCGCCATTGGGGTGAAATTGACCAGCGAAAGGTGTGATAGTACCTCGGCTAAAATCAACCAATGCTTTGTAGTATGAGCAATGGACAAGTCATACAGTAGATTCGCTAGGGTTATATTTGAGGAAGAGCTTGATTGGTGTAGACCTTGAATACTACATAATATTCAGTACAGTATAACATGCAATGAAGATAAATAACCTGCTGGGAAGCATAGTGGACAACGGAACCATTTCCGAAGAATCAGAGCTATCGATAAGTGATATTGATTTTCACGTTGAGTTATTTTTCCTTGAAAATATGATGGGGTATCAAATGGAGTCAAGTAATTTTGATCATCATCCAAAGCATTAATTCCAAGCTCCAACAGAGAGCATAAGTACATCCATCAATACACATGTGCATGTATCTGGGAATAGAAAGTAAGCATAAAAACATAGAAACATGAAAGCATGAAAGCAGAAAATAGCACTATCGTGACGATATTTCCATCATTAGAGGGAAAAAAAGATTGAACACCTGATATCAGAAGCCCAAATCAGAAGAACTCCACGAGACCCGGGAAAGCCAAGCCCAAGGGCAATCCAGATAGAAAAGAAATCGCGAACAAAACAAAAGGAACAGCATGAAGAAATGAACATAATCATCTACTTCCGCCAGAACATAGCTTTTCCAACGGTCCTGCCAGCAGCCCAGCGAGCTTCGGCTAGCTTATCCTTGAAGGACACACCGCCGCCGTAGCGCACAGGGCGGGAGGAGGCCGCTCCAGACTCAGAAGTAGCAGTCGCACTCGAACCGCCGAAAGAACTAGGAGCGAAGTTCGTCATATTACCCGCATCGAACTTCGTCTTTCCTTCAACGATTTTTTGAACGACGTTCAAGATAGCATAAGCAGTAGAGCCAACAGCACGAATAGCCGCGAGGACAGCGACAGACCACAAGATGATAGCGAGATAGATGTTTGTGCCGCCGGAGTCAACACCGTAGATTTCGGACACAGCCATGGCGAGGATTACGTTTGCGACCATCCAGATGGAGACCATGTAAGTACGGACAGCACGATAGTAGTCCTCCTGCAACTGGGTATCCGATGGCGGGGGCTCGGGGACCTCGAGGCGATCGCGGAGGTTGCGGAGGGCCGCGTCGTAGCCGGAGTCAATATCGAGTTGTTCGGAGGGCATTTCGATGACGACGGTTGAGCCGTTGATGGTCTTTGCTGCACCGAGATCGGTGTTGATTACGTTGTCACCTTTGGTTCCCCAAGTGACGTCGTGGGTGTTGCAGAAGGCGTAGACTTGGAGAATGCAGATGTAGCTGGGCATGAGCAAAAAGTATTGGACCGAAGAGGTGAACATGTGCCACGGGTCCAGGTAGAGGAATGAGCTGTAGAAGTAGAGACCGACAGTTGACAACATGGAAATCACAATGTTCATCATTAGGCTATCGCCAACTTCTAGGTCATCGTTTCCAACCCCAGCACGTGCGAGTAACTCTTTGACCACCAAGTAGAGGGCGCAGAAGACCGTGTAGAACATGATAATGGCGTACACAATGATACCAGAGAGATAGAGATTCTTGGCACTGAAAAGAGAATGTCAGTCAAGTTCGAATATATGACGAAGCATTTTGGACTCACCCTTGCGGTCGATTACCCAGCGAGATAATAAACTGCAAACACATAACCAGGACACAGGCATAGCGCAGAACAATGAAGATATATTTGCCCATGTTGTGACCAAATGGGTCAAGTTTCTCATCGGTTAAAGAGCCAGCAATGAAATAGAAAGCGAGGTAGAAATTGGCCTGTGAAAGTCAGTGGACGCCCCCAAAGAAAACAGAGCGCAAAACTCACAAGACCAAAGTAAGTAAACAGCAAATTAAGGAATTGATAAAAGAACTCGATGTGAAGCAAGACCTTCCGGGTAAAAGTATGATCGGTCTTCCAGATCTGTTTGGCATTGAAAATCGAGTAAACAGCCGCGAAGAACGCACCGTTCAGCCATCTTCGACGCTGGGAGATGAACTCAGGAACCGAGTCCGGCACATCGGTTTCTCCAACGGCGTTCTTAACAAACTTCAATACCCATCTCTCTTCCCGTTTGGCGACCAACTCCCAGCAAAGAATACGATCTTCGGCGAGATACATGTTGGCAGTGAAAACGTCTGCATCTTGACCGTGGAGTGTTTCACCCTTGAAATATTGGTTCAGGGGGCCATGTCCGTCTGCGTCGTTTTGCAGCGCAAAGAATCGATATGCGCTGAGCGCACCGGGCAACACAGTGATGTAACCGAAGACTGATTCCAGCGGCTTGTCGAGAATATTGGACATTTTGTATTCGAAGTTCTGACTTGCCACCAGAGGGTTGAGCAGACCGAGCATGTTCTTACCTTTAGCAGCCTTGATCTCTCCAGCAGCGCCGGCAACATTGGAGTCCTGATCAAACGCCTTCCACAAGTGGTAGAGCGCCATTGGCTCTGGTCGAGTTCCAACATCGAGCAAAATACAAATGTTAGGCTGAAGGGCACGACCAAAGGCATTGAAAAACCATCTGTGGGAGTTCAGCTTCTTCTTGTTGTGTTCCTTCAAACAGAAGATAACCTGACACGGAACAATTCCCTTCTCCGCACCCTTAAACTTGAGATCATCATCAAGCGAGACCTGCGTGGTGTACTCGTACACGTGTGCCTGAACTTCCTTTTGGTTGACAATATTCTTCGCAATACCCTCCTGGTAAACACCCAGGGCGGCCAATGCATTGAGTGTGCGCGGGTGGACCTTCTTACGTCCATCAGCCACAATGCAAACAACGATTTTCTTCCATCCATCGCGGCCCCAAGTACGCGACTTGGTGCGCGAGCAGAAGTGGCTGATATTCTGCATAACGCCATGCATAGTACGGGTGAAACCAATCTCGTCTTCGTTGTACATGGTAATACAAATAAACAGCTCTGTCTCGCGAGTCGTGGTACCAATCTGCTGCCGAAGCTTATATCCACGTTCGCCATAGTCGTCCGGATCGGTTGTAACAGCGGTATATCGCATGTGCGTGAACTCACGCTCATCGCGGCGAGGGAGGAAGCTGTGAAGAATGGTGGGAATTTTGCACTCCAAAATAAGCTCTCCATTGACCAACTGAACTTCTTTTTTGGCGACCTGCTTGGATCGGACACCACGACGGCCCTGCTTGTCGGGTGCTGGGCCATAGTGGAGGTTGGGATCCAAAACGTGCGATTCGTCGTCATAATCATCATCGAGATCGACTTTGGACATGCCATCTTTCTCGTCTCCCAACATTGTCGATTCGCTCATGAATGATCGGACACTGGCGCGTGAGGTGTGGTTAATTGTGCGGCCATCACCACCGAATGGATCTTCGCCATGGGCATCACCAATATCGATGCTCGTATCCATTGTTGATTTTGGTCCAGTGAACAACGGCGCAGGAGGCAATGGTCGACGGGGACTACCCCCATATCTTGAGCTGGGTGTACCGGGCCTTGGACTACCGTTTAAATCGGCGCGCTCATATCCAACACTTGACACGGAGGGTGGTCGGATGTGGGATGGGCTCCATGGGCGAATTGGCGATCCTGTGCGTGGGGGAATAGATGGGTAGACAGAAGTGTCTGCGAGGTTTGCTGTGGGAGGCGGGATACTGGGTACACTGGACAAGCTGGATGGTGGACGCGAAGGTGAAGCGACGCTAGGCACCTGGTAATAACTATCATAGCTTCGATCATGTCCGGTCCTATAATTGTGCGCCCTGGTGTTAGACCTTGGTCTTGGAAGACGTTCCATTTTGCCGCGAAGCTGGCACTAAGAGGCCCAATGTGGAGGTGGAGGGGGGTTGGGACAGTAAACAATGCACTAGTATCAAGTGTACAATGTTTACAATGTTTACAGGGTGGGTGATTGACAAACAGCAAGGAAGGAAGGAGTTGGCTCGGTCCTTGTAGCAATGCCCATTGACGGGCAATTGCTCGAGGCTCCCAGCCTCTCCGTCCCGTCAATGAAGGAGTCGGATTTGGCAGTGCACGTGGCTCCATCGCGAGGGAAACCACTGGAATGTGAAGACGGACAGGGTTGCATCAGAGACAATTGGGAAGTATAGGGAAGTACATACGGAGTGTGATCATAATCTGGGTCATAATGGGAGGGCATATGACTGATACCTGAATCATCGACACCGTCGCCGCTTGGCAACAAGCGCATCGTTCCTCCATTCAGACGTGAGGCATTGGTCGGAGAGTCAGGATCGGACAGATAGGAACTTGCGTCATGGTTGAGGTATGCGGGCGGCGCGTCGCCGTATTCGGATGGCGGATGGCGGTTCATGATAGAACGTGGAATGTGATGTTTTTTTGTTTCAACTCACTGCCTCATAGTATTCCACCTGAGGTGGGTATCGATGAGACAACGATGAGAATTAATCCCCGTCTCTCGAAGATACGACAGAGTGGGGGTAGATCTGTTTGGTTCGACAGATGAGGCTCGAGGAATGGAGGAATGTGAGTATAATATCAATATTAAAGCTCCACACACAAGCAAGATGAAGAGGATCAAAGAGGATCAAAGGGGATAAAAGAGTAAAATGGATCGACTGGGGAAACAAGTCCAGCCCGTTCATATCCGTCGCTCTGCATCAACAAGGTGGAGGTCTAGGTGGTTGTCAGGGCAACGCTGAATTTGGCGACCGAATCAGCACGGGAAACACTTGGAAAACAATACTCCAATTAGTATTGAAATGAAATATCACAGGAGATTCTTCGTTATTCCATTTTATTCCTTCCCAATGCAATATCAAATTGTCAATATCAAGTCGCCAAAGTATTCATCGCATCTTCAATATCCCCAGTCCCAAGTGGGTCGATGCATTCTGACATGAATACGCCACTTGAACAAAACTACATTATTCCAGGTGGTATCACAAAAGAATGCATAATTCTGCCAAAACAAGACTGGCCTTGCAGATCTCCCCAAATCCCATACTTTCATTCTTTGGTTCTCGTTCTGGGCCTTCAGTCCCAACGAACAACTGGTTAGGTTAGGTTTATCATGGCAGTAGGTCCTTTGTTGATGCCATGATGACACCGCTCACACCCCCTCGTTGAGCAGTGGCTCTCTCTCCCGGTCCACTGAATCGGGGTGGGCAACACGACGGAAGAGGCTGTCGCGGCCGGTGTACTTAGTCGTGGAAAGGTACAGAGAGACAGACAAGAACACGGCAAATACGGTAAAGGCAAAGATCCACTGCAGGGCAATGATCTTTATAGCGACTTGTCTGACAGCGAGTGCTAGGGTTATATATATCAGCAAGGCACTTAAGCAAATGATAGTAAAAGAAAGAACTTACACAGAGTCAACCAACTTAAACAATACCCAAGGATATAATCCTCGCGAGGGACGATACTGAACAGTCCGATTGCGAGAATAACCCAGATAAAGATGTTAGCAACAATACGGCCAGGCAGGTTATGGCTGTGAACAGCGACTGCGCCGTTCCAGAACAACGCCATCAATGTCCAGGCATAGGGACCGGCAACAGCGGGTAGGTGGACGAACACCGGCAGGCCACTGTGGCGCCAGTAGGTGACTGTCTGGTTGATGAAGTGGGCGATGAGGATGATCTCTGCGCCCCAAAATTGGTTGCGGGTCCAGAGCAGAATCCAAGCGGCGAGGAAGACGTTGTTCAGGATGAAATGGGTGGCGACATTGGCAGCTGCCACGACGAGGACATTGTTCTTGGAAAAGAGGTGCCAGACGTAGCTGAGCTGAGAGAGGAGGAGGAATATCCTAGATGGGGGATTAATTTGTGGACATCCCAAAGCTATAGACATTGGCTAAACTAACCAGAAAACCCCAGTCAAAGTAGTGTTCTCGCTGAATGGAGTATTATGCTTATTGGCCTGCTTCCAGAGCTTCTTGCCCTTCTTGGTATCGTCGGGCGAGTGAACGGAATGATAGATGCCGATCACTACGACCAAAGCCCAGGTGAGAGGTACAAAGACTCGGTATGTATTCAGCGAACTGGCGCTGTGAGTTTCGCGTCTAGCGAACGGGTTGAATGATGCCATGATAGAGTTATTACCCAAGCTGAGGAAGCTGAGGAAGCCGATGATAATTTTTAATAAAAGGAACCGAGAGTCTAGAAGATGGGGGTCTTATAATCAAGGATTAAAAGGGGATTCCCCGCATATGGTCATCAGACCATACTATTCCAGGACTTGCAGATGAGGTCAATTCCATGGTGATGACATCAACGCTTCCATCCATTGAGGGTCACTTAGGGTTACTTCCAACTACATAGCATAGTTATGTACTCCATCTCGCGAAAGCTGAAGAGACCATGATTTATTCTATCAATCATAACCACATCTTTCGGTTTTACTAGAAATAGAAATACTTGTGTTTCTGTGAAACATGGACTGAGCGTCATCCCAGTCTAACTACAGTGAGAAAATAACCTGACGTAACCTTGATCAAGCGTAGATCATCGCGCACAGTCCTTTTCAATACAGATTTCAACCTCAAATACAGTGAGCAAGCTAAAAATCCAAAAGTACTCGAGTTATTATGCTGAGCGTAGGACCTTGGGAGACAGAAATCAAGGAAAATGAGACCCGCAACTGAGCTGAGCCTACCTTGGCGCCGGAAGACAATATTTGAACTTAAAAATAAACTTGAATGGCATGTTGAAACACGCGAGGCACCGAGTTTGATTCTACTCAGCGTTTTACATACTAGTAGTATGTACTCCGTATGTTGTAGGGAATAAGTATTACTGTCCGAATTTGGTAACGCGGGGAAATGGCCAGTGCTCTCACCTCATGCCGGTAGAAATAACAGTCTACTTTGCACACATGATGTGCAAAAGTACTAGTATCAATAGTAACCATGCCAATGATATGGTTATCTAGGGTATCAAAACCAACGTGCAAAAATATAGGAGGGAAAAGAAATCACAATCCCCGCGCCTCCCTCACAGCCTCCAAAATCCTCCCATGAACCGAAGCCGGCCCAACAACCATACCATGACACCCAGCCAGGGTACGACCCAGCGAACAATCAACTGGTTTCCCCTCAAGATCTGTAACAAGACAGCCCAATTCCTGCACAATAAGCATGCCACCCGCATGATCCCAGATCTTCGAGCGATAATCCGCACTCAACGGCACCTTAACGAAAGCATTACACCCTCCCTGCACGGCAATGGCAATGTAACGCATCTGCGCTGACCATAAATCCACCGGATTCGGCCACGGACAGCCAAGATGCGCCGCCACACGAGCATGAGCCTCGAGATCCTGCGTCTTTGCCGCACGCGTATCAATGAACCGCACACCGGAAGCTCCAACCTGCGGGACATGTTCAAGCGGGCGTGCCGGCAGCAAGGCTCCCGGACCCATAGGTCTGATGGTAGCTCCCTGCCCGACAACGGCCGAGATCATCTGGCCAAGACCGTCACGGTCGACGCGGTCTTCAGCGACGAGTCCTGACTCTAGGAGATTCGGGCAGCCGAGGACGCCGATTCTTTGGATCCCGTTTTCGACTAATGAGAGGCAGACTGCGTACTGCTCGCCGCGGATGAAGGTTGCTGTTCCATCTACGGGATCTAGAGTCCAGGTCCTGCTAGTGGGGGTGCAGGCGCCTTTTGCGCCGAGGTCAATTAGGTCGAGGAGTTCGGAGGTGGTACGTGGAGTGTGGAGAAGGGCTTCGCTTTCTGGGTCATTGAGGTGGATGCTGGTTGCTAGGTCCCAGGTTCTTGCGAGAAGATCTGGGTTTGAGCGGAGGGCTGTGGCATCTTCTTCGCCGACGATATCGTCGTCTGGGAAGACGTTGTGGATGGCTGCAATTATTGAGGCTTGGGCGGCAAAGTCGGCGATTGTTACGGGTGAGGAGTCGCTCTTGTCAAGGGCGCCTTTGTCGACAGCAGAGAGGAGCTCTTTTGTCAGGATGGCTGCTCGTTGTACAGCTAGGCTGGCGAGCTGGAGCTCTTTGGCGTAGGGCATTGAGGTCATTGTAGGCGGCTTTAGGGGTTGTGTGTGTGGAGGGTTTCGATATTCATCCAGGGTAGATTTGGTTGACCGGATGTAGAAATGACAGTTCTGAGCGACAAGTATGAAAACGGTAGTTTATTTTTTGGGACACAGAGGGGCATCACGTGCAGCGAAACACCGGTGAGTACATGTATGTATCCCTACGTCATATCTCAATCTATACTGATCCACTACAATATCAATAGTATCATGAGCATATCTGGTCGAAAGATCTTATTTGGCACAGGCTATAATATAAGTAAAGGCGTCAGAAAACCTTGGACATAAAATTGCGTAGAGATTCGTCAGACCATACTCAATATATATAACAAGAAATATGATCAAACGTTGTATCACAAGTATCACCATCTATACACCGAATTCAACAAATCCTTAAGAGCTTTTATCCAGACCAACTCATTACAACCTAGCCTTGTCTTCTTCACGACCCTGAAGGTTAGGGTGAGGGGTTCGAATGGGTCGAGTAACCGCGTAGAAGGCAAGCCCTTGAGACTTAGTCGAGAACTAGACCGAGAAATTAGAATACTTCAACTAATATCTCGCGTACGAGGGTCATGACAAACCTTGACCTTAGATCCAACATAGAAAAAAGCAAAGTCTCCCGGGACTAGGTGATGGGTGACACCTGTCGCCTCGTCCTATTTGTAACCGAAATGATCAATAACCAAAAGATTTAAGAAGCAGATGTCAAGGTATAATGGGGGAGATACCAAAATATCGATCTGACCATTGAGGATATACTTTGTCTCCTCAAAATTGTAGTTTGCGGGTCTTTCGGGTCCAGCCTCGATCTTATAGAATCCCGAGGTGAAGTATGCAGGGGATTCAGTATTGGTGCGGATAGAGTGGAAGTCGGCAGTGGTCGCGTTCTCGCCCTGAGGAAGGGGGATGAACTCGTGGCCAGCGCCTTTAATGACGGTAATAGGAACGATATTGCTAGACACTTTCCATAGGTGAACGTATTAGAGACTGTATGATTTGTTCTGGAGGTCGTGAGGAAAAACTCACTGTTGCTATACTTGATAGATATGGTCAGAATTGGGACATATTTAGGAACAAGATGTCACCGACTAATATACACACTCATTGTACTACAGACGGTATTACTCGGTGGCATTCCCGGGATACAGCGAAGATCCTGCGTGCTTTATCCTGATGAGGGGAAAAGTCCCCGTGCCCTCATGAGGGGAACACTCGGGTGCATCGCCCGGAGGTGGAGAAATGTCGGGCGGAGAGCCGTGGGAGCCGTGATCAAGTAAGGTGTTCTTATAATTCTCAGGGATTGCGTGCTCTTTGCCACTTCACGAAGAGGATAAGGCTAAGGATAGAAGAAAGTGAGGAAAAAGGAAGAGAGCGGCTGTACAAATTCTGGTACCCTGTACTTTGACTACAATCCACATGTCCCCTGATCGGAAGAGTCTACTATGATATGCTTTGATCATATGGTGCTCTTGAGTTATCGAGGTTAAAAAATGATCATTACCAGGATAGAAAGGTCAACAAGTCATAATCATTCAATTGAGGATATATAGGGGAAAAGCCCCAAGAAAAAATAAAAACAGCATCGGATTAAACCTCAATGTACTCTTGACGAGGGAACCCAGCGCGGAGGTATATCACATAAAACGCCGAACCATCATATCCATGTAAACCAGCAAGACAAGATCAGAAGGAAGCAAATGCCAGCTCGTAAGCAAAAGCCAAGCTCATCTTTGCATGCTGCAGCATATGATCGAAGCTCAAATACTCGATCTTGTCCTCGGTAGTGTGGATCCTCTTATCGGAGTTCTCGAACTGAGACTCGATCACAAATGCCGAGGGGTATCCGTACCGACTAGCAGAAGCATGATCAGAGCATGCATAGCCACACTTTGTCTCGACATAGGGCACATCGCAGTACGTGGTGATAACCTCCTTAATGAACGCAGTAAGGCCCTGGTCGACGTAGTCGATAATAACACCCACAGACTCCTTCTCGCCAGCATCAAGAGTACCCTGAACATACCCAGTCATGTCTTGCTGGAGCATGGCCTTGACGTTCCGCTGGTTCTTCTTGTAATTAGCATATACAGCCTGTGATCCGAGTAAACCACCTTCCTCGGCAGAGTACCAGTGGAACTCGATAGTGTTACGGGCTTTTCCGTGGGTTATAGTCTCCGACCGCAGCAGGGCGCGAAGAGCTTCGAGGATAGTAACTGTTCCACTTCCGTCATCATCCGCGCCCGGGGCAGCCAGGATCGAAGGCAGGAACAAGTTGATGCTATCCTGGTGGGAACCGAGGACGACGGTGTTATCCGTCTGACCGGGAATGCGCGCAATAATGCTGAACTGACCCCAGGGATGAGCGAAGCGCTCGACGGTTGCACCGTGGTCACTGGCGCCAGACTCGTGCACTGCAGCAGTCACTTGGTCAAATAGCCAGGTTGCTGACTCGATTCCCGTTTGCGACTTGTAGTAGCGCGTGTGGAAGGATGTGAAGTGTTCCAGGTTGCTTCTCATGTTACTCTTGTCGAGAGTTTCGGTCAAAGGCAGAATTTCGTGTGAGTGCTCCATAGCCCCTGGATAGTGGACGACCCGCGTGGTGTGGAGGGTTCCGTAGGAGCCTGATTGGTATTCATCGGTGACATCGATGAAGTTCACTCCGTCCTAGTCGGGGGTTAGTACTATGTCATTGAGTTTCGAATCAAAAAAAAAAAAATGGCTTACCAGCTTGAGCGACCATTTTTCTTCTTCAGTTACCCATCGGGTTCGGTATGGGGCCAGTTCAATCAGAGACTTCGACTGAGGGTTTTGAACAATTGAAGGTGCTAGAGGTTGTTGCTCCGGGTTGACTATGACCATGGCAGATGCCGTTGCGCTGAGCGCAAGAGTGAGGAACTTCATGATAATAAGGATAAGCAGAATAAGCAGAATAAGCAGAGTAAGGGTCGAGAGGGTTTAAGGATTCTTTTAAAAGGCTAGAAGTGCAGGTGTTGGGCACGCGCCCTGCGCCAAGCCATTTTTGGACCCCGCGCGCTAAAACACTAAGGCTCTGTATCATATTATTCTTAGACCGGACTGCCGGTACATCCGGTTGATCCTTTAACAATGAAATCTCTAACACGTACGGATCATATCGGCTCGCAGGATCTTGTTCGAGACTATCAAACCCGGGGAACAGGCACCTAAAGCACGAAAAGCACCAAAAGCCTAGACATGACTCGGCGAGTCTGGGGATTGAAGGTGGAGAATGGGAGAAGAAACTCCACTATGACAGCGCTATGACTCACAGCCATGCGGAGATAAGGCTCATATGTACACATCATGGTGAAGACTAATATAAGGATACAGAGTTATTGTCTACAGCCTTGAGCTAGTGTCTACTCCGTACAGCTTCGATATTTGCTCCACTGTCAGGCCAACTCATATTCCCAAATAGGGAACTAGGGCTAGGGCTATCAGGTGACCAATCGCCACCAATCAGCGTCTGGCGAGTTGTCCCGTGCAGACAACCTTGCGTATCATCTGTCCCAGGTCCTTATCTTGCCCATTCCTATCCTATCCTTATCCCTCTTTCTCCTAGACTTGTTGCCTTGATTAGATCATATCGCATACATTATGGCTATCCATCCACGCCTGCGACCAGAGGGTTCCCAGGGCCACCTGTCGCCGCAACAAGCCATAGCCATCTCCGCATGGACAGAGCAACATGCAGCAGCGTCCCTGCGGGATATGACCCTATCGGACTCAGCCCCTGCAGCGACAACGCCGTCTACACCGACTCCGACGCGTTCGGGTCCGCGCGGAGTCACCGTCTCGCTGTCGATCCCTCTCGACGACGACGAAGCGATCCCGTCCCAACGAGTCAAGGCCGAGTCCCGCCCTCCGACAGTCAGCTTCCGACGTCGGGAGCCTCTGCGCCGGGATGGCCTCAAGACCCGAGAGGCTCTACTCAAGGGTAAAGATGGCAGCCGTCGGAGACAGCGCTGGGAGAACGGTACGTTGTATATGCACTAGATAGGTCGCGGCGAATGCCGACTTGTACCTTTTTGCCTTTGGTGCAGGTTTGGCAGGCAAATGCTGACTAGGCACTAAGATCGTCTCTTGCACAACCCCTGGGCGCAACCGCCCTCTTCAAAGGACTGGGATGTCCAGCCTACCTATCCTCGGCATGACCCGATGCCTTATTATCTTGCGCCCCTGTGGGACGTTCACTATTCCCATGTGGTGGATCACCAGTCGGCCGCGAGGGCTGCTGAGAGGGCCAATGAGAAGCATCAAATTCCGAAGGAACTGAGGTTAAAGCTGAAGCATGCGCGTGCCGCGCATGGCATGCTCCGAGATCTGGAAGAGGAGGTCCGTACGTTTATTCAAAAGTGGAATGAAAGGGAGCTTCTACTTGAGAAAGAGGGCTTGCGGGATGCTCCTGAGTACTCGACCAGTGATGATTCGGAAGATGAGATCGTCTTTGTCGGTCGGAATGGGCAGATGCACGACTCGCCTGAGCGAAAGGAGAGACTCCGCTTGCTCCGAGGGGAGATCAGCTCTCACAGCGAGCGAGACGGTGAGAAGATGGTGCTCGAGACTCTGGCTGATGATCGTGCTGCTGGATTCGGGTATGTTTTAAGCCTTCCCTCCACCTTATTCCAGTCCGCTGACCCTTCTCAGTCGCTGGTTAGTCCACTCCATCGCATCCTACTATGGATTGCACACTTGGTCCATCACAGTAGAAGACCGACGAGAAGCCTATGTGGGCTTCCGATCCCCGGTTCCGGGAAGCCGCGCCGGGCTCGTTTCCCACCCAGCTTGCCATTCAGAGGCCCTGATCAAGCCCGGCGAGGAGCTCCCTCGGCCTCTCTATGCTCAAGTGTAAACTTCCGCCTTCTTGCCCTTTCTCTTCTGTCTTCCAGATTGGACATATTTATTGGGGAGTAACGTTCGCGGATTTGTAATTCATGTTGTCTCTCGGCTACAGGTGGTCATATGTAGATCTCATTGGACGTATTTTCTCGGTCGCAATTCAGGTCAAGGGATATATTTCCTCGTAGCATTGATGCAATGTTGATCAATTGTTGGTGAGTGGGGACTATGGGTTCATGGTGTGTTCAGTTGAATCACAGTGAAGAATGCGAGTGGGATCTAGAAACCCCCTTCGTTTTCGTGATGCAGCTGTAAGTCTGTGCACCGAAACTAGCTGATCATATGTCGTCATGCTAAGGCCCAAGACATGGCTGTGAGGAGCATTAGATTGATCGCGATCGTACGATGGGAAGAATGTTGACCGTGCAGGGCGAACCGCGCAGGATCGGATACCTCTTCGATATGACATGATATTCTGACCAAGCCAAAGTATATGTGATCTTACGTACAACAGGTCCCTGTGCACTCCTATACCGTCGGCTATCACCGTCTCCACCACACAATGGATCGGAACGGACCGTGGGGCCCACGGTTTCCAAGGTTCCCATAACGTCCAGGGTATTGTATATGTATAAAGGGATGTCTCTGACAAGCTGGACGTTGTGTCCTCCTTGCGTATAACGTCTCAAGAATTCCCAAGTGCTTGGACGCTACAGGGCCCGAGCCCTAACGTAACAAAGCAGAAGTCTAATCTCTTATGGAGTACAGGAATCTCGTGTCTAGACTAGTTCAATGCAGGCCCCCGCAATCTCACTGGCTTTCGGAGACTAAAAAGCAAAAAGAAGTGCAAAGCCACGAATGAAGACGAGAGACAGGGACCACCATACAGCACATCGTACGCTAGAGAGGAGTTCTCCCACCCCTTATAGGTAGATTCGCCCATAGCCCAGGATCTGTGGCTGATTTTCGCTTTCTTTTCTTTTTTCTTTGCTTTCGATTTGTGCCACGGCCTGCGATAGTCGGGTGCAACGGTGTGGCTCTGGATAAATCGCTCGATCGTGTAGAACAAAGAGTCGGGTACCCAAAAATGACGAGTTGAACATTCTCCATTTCCCCAATGTTCTAAATACTTCGCACATTGTGACAGTCCAGATTTCTACATTCTCTCTGACCTAGTGTTGGCCGGCTCCAACTCCTTTTTCTGCTTTGCTCGTTCCCCTCGCTGGCACATTCTCCCCCCGATTCCAC